AAGAAATTTCTTCCTCGTAACTCAAGTTCTCTTGGATTCCCGGACTCTTCTCCGACAGATAATTCTCAGAACCGAGCCTCCCATTTAACAGGCAAGCCATAGCATCTAGAGAATTACCTATTTGAAACCGATCTGCTACTGGTACTTCGTATTGCAACCTCGCCCTTAGGTCGAGCAAAATGGAAATGAATGGATGGAATTCCCGTTCAACATCCTGTTCTGGGACTGCGACGCTGCGAGCTCGAGCAGCATTCAGACATCCCGACTAGCCCCAGAAGCATTTGGATGCCTCCACCTTCTCAAGAGCGGACTCGAGACAAGAAAAATTTCTGAAAGTTTCCTCAAGGAAATATATGATATATAAGGATATATATGAACGCATGTCGGATTAATTCCATCCTTCAGATCTCGATCAGATTTAGATCCACTCTCGATCCACTCTCGATCAGATCCCAATCCACTCTCGATCAGATCTCGATCCACTCTCGATCAGATCTCGATCCACTCTCGATCAGATCTCGATCCACTCTCGATCAGATCTCGATCCACTCTCGATCAGATCTCTCGGTATTGCAACCTCGGCCTTAGGTCGAAAAAAATGGAAATGAATGGATGGAATTCTCCACAACGAGCTTAAACCTATTCTTTTTCCGGGTGGACGAGCTTATTCTGAGAGGAATGGAAGGAGGTATTGGGAATGCCGCAAGCGCTACCTGCCACCCGACGAACCTCCCCGTTCAAGACCCTGTTCTGGGACTGAGACGCTCCGGGCTCGAACAGCATTCAGACATCCCGACTAGCCCCAGAAGCATTTGGATGCCTCCACGTTCTCACTTGTGGACTCGAGACGAGAAAAACGCTGTTGGTTACCTCAAGGATACATACAGGGTGGGCCAAAAAAAATAGTTCCACCTTTTTCATTCTGCTGTAACATTTTCGCATGTTAAGTCAAATGCCTGTGCCATTATTTGGAAAGGCTAAGGAACAATCAAATGCACTTTTTATTTTGAAAGTCAATTCAGACGTATTTTTGCAGGCTGAAAGACTCTGTTCAGCAGAGGATCGAGACTCTCGAGACCTAAATCTCCGTAAATATCGTTTTTGGCTGCTGTTAGGAGTTCCTTATTTTTCGCCCGCCTAATATTTTTCTAGAAAATGCATTTGCATGCAATGCTCCTACACGCGAAAGAGGGATATGCCTCAGCTCACGCAGTTTTTCACATCTAATCGTCAGTCTCGGAAAACACTTGGGAACCGACTCTTACGAAAAAAAGTGCGTTTGGTTGTAGTCTATGAAACCACGAAAGTGTGATGATGATCTGCAACGAATGCGAAGAGTGTTTGCATTCTGCTCTCGGAACGGCTTGTGGGGGGAATCCATCTCAAAATCAATTCATTCATCATTGAATTTGATGATTCTCATTCGTTCAAACTTCTACGACGTTTACCGACTGGGTCTGAGTGTCTCCCCTCTTAAATCAAGGATTTCGGGGCACGAGCTTGCAAATTCACGCTTTGACTCGATGCTTGGCTCTGCTTGAAAAAATCTCAGAAGTCAGATTCAATCTGATTTTGATGCGAAGCCGTTTTAACCGTTTAAGAGTTTTAACCCAGTATCAAACCGAAATTGGAGCAGCTCCTTCATCGACTTCAAAGCGTGTTTTGGTTCGAAAGGATTTCAATCATTGCAATCATTCGGCATTTCCAGAATCGTCGAAACACCGACTGGGAAATGAAACTCGGCGGACGAACAAACGCCGAACAGACGATTTTGTCCAACGAGGGATGCGCGATCGATTGGGATCAATCCAGGAAATCTTACTGTCAGCCTCGAATGCAACGCGCGTGAGCTTACTTCGGGATTCAAACTACTGTACCGGGAGTCTCAAAATTATTCTTCGAAAGGGGAATTTAATTTCCTCGAAAAGCAGACGTGAAAGTCGCCAATAATCTTTGTAATAATCTTTGTCGGGCTTGCGCAGTGCGAGTTCCAGCGTTGGTACGGAACAAAGAGAACAACACGAAAGGATTCTGCTTTGGTACGGGGAATTTGAAGTAACCGTATCGGTGTGCGATTGCTCGCAAACAAACCGCTGATTCCCCTCGATCGATGACCGTCGCAAAAAGTGCAGGACTTCTTTGTCATTGCGGTCAGAATTTCGTCAACTACGTCAACTGCTTGGTCTGTCGCTTTTGAAGAGTCACTCTTCCATTTTTTGGAAATGCCAACTTAGAATGATGTTGGAGTCTTCATTTTTCCATACAACCACTTGGAGTCACGCTGCACGAGTCCAACAATGCTCAGTTTTGCATAAAAAATCGCACACATCGAGTTCTGCCGAATTGTTGTCGCCATCTTGCGTCCGACAGTGCTGCCGCCATATCGACCGAAAAGTAGAGAGTTAGACCACATTACTACAAAGTTTCACTGTTCAACAACTACTACTTTTCGAAAGAAGTAGTATTCGTAGTACTTTTTAGAAATGTAGTTTCTAAAAAGAAATTTAACATTTCAATAAAGAATTCGGAGACACGCCGTATTTCCATCAAACTCCTCGATCGGACTCAACTCCAATCATTTATTTCATACTTCATGATGTGCATATTCCCAGATACCGAAAGTCGAACGAAACACAGTCAGGGCGTGACAGCCGGCCTCTTGCACGTGAACGCAGGAGCCGTGAAGGCGACGGTGGCCCACGTGGACGGAACCACGGCCGCGCAGTCGTGGCCGCTCAGATCGGCCGGGCGACCCGCGACCCAATTCGAATAGGTCGGGCTCGACCCGTCTTAGACCCAGAGCCATTCCCCGGCGGATTCGTGGCGGCGCAGGCCGATCCAGAATTCCGTCGCTGGATCGAGGTTTCGTGACTCGAGGAACTTTCTCAGGACGTTTGACATGTGTTCTTGGTCCGAGATCTTCATCAAATCTCTGCCGTTTGATGAGCAGCTGCTTTGGGCAGCTTCGAAAGTGCTGTTCGAGGGCCAGACGGTGATTTCCGAGCCATCGTCATTTCCACATATGAAAGAACGCTCTTCGTCGCAGGGAAAATTCATCCATTTGTCGACCATGAGCAGGAAATGATTGTCGTTCACGAGATAAACATCTCCGGAATTGAAATTGGAAAAATCCGTTGGAGTACCGTCCAAGAATTCAAAGTCGTTTCTATCGCTCGAGAAATTCGGTCCTGCCCCCGCCCCGATGTAGCTGACAGGGCGCTGAACCCAATGCGCAATGAATTGGTTTTCTTCCTCCGAATGGACGCTGGCGACGTGAGCCCCCATGGCCTGGCATCGTGCCTCGGCTTCATTCAGCGAAAAGTCAGTCTCGTCTGTGGTGATGTGAAGATAACAATTATCTCGGAACCGATTCCATCCGATGTCGCACTTTTTCTTGCACGCAAGCGAAGGGGCTCAGAATCGGTCACCCTCGAAGGCCATGGGGCTGCACATGCGCGGGTGGCGTCATCGGCCTGAGGCCCAATTTGCATGCTTCAGCAGAGATCCGTCTTGAGCCAAATGCCTCTCTCCAATTGCGTAGTTCCTGATCTCATCTTTAGGTGTACAGGGCGTTTCACAAAAAAATTTCACCATTTTGAATTGCAATAACTTCTCCCAAACAGCATGTTCATGTAAACAATTTATCTATTTTTTGCAAACAATGCAATTTTCTTGCGATTGCGAGGAACCCATTATTCTGCCGTTCAAGTTCAAAATGCCTGAATTGAGTCTACAATAAAGAATAGAAAAGGAATATTCCGTCCGAATTAGTCTTATTGTCTTAGCTAATGAGTGATTGCACCACTTTTAAATTTTTTATAAGACCACGAAAACTGGAACGTTCTCGAAAAGAAAATTTCTGTCTCGTAACTCAAATCCTCATCCCCGAAAGATAATTCCCAGGCAATTCCATTCAACAGGCAAGCCATGGCGTCTAGGAAGTTATTTATTTGAAACTGTTCTGCTAATCGTATTTGAGACCAAAAACCTCAGCTTTTGGCTAGAGCAGAACGGAAACGGATGGATGGGATTCTACAAAGCAAGCAAAGGGAAAACCCATTCCTTTTTCTGGATGGGCAATTGTACTCTTTACACGAAGAGGAGAAATTCCATTCGAATTTGATACGAAGAGAACGCCCGCATGTTTTTTTTCGTTCCGGTCAAATAGTCGAGTGAGTTTCAACCGAGAATCAAACCGAAACTGGAGTAACTCATCATCAATGTGAAAATGTGTCTTGGTTGCAAGGGTTCGAAAAGTACATTTCGGATTTCTGGAGTCATCGAAACACTGACTGGCAGTTTGGCGAATTGAATCTCGGTGAACCCCAGGTGAACGAACTCATGCAAACTTTGAAAATATGTTTTTTGCCGAATAAAGAATGGGCGATTAATTGCCATCAAGTCCGGGAATCTTACCGTCAACCCCGAATGCGACGCGCGTGAGCTTTCTTCGAGATTAAACTGCGGTCGACTCCGTGGAATGGAATCCTGCGCTTAAAGGAATACCATTGCACTGTTCCCATTTACGATATGACACAGCCTTCATTTCGGTTATTGGAATACTCTGGATTATAGAATGAAGTTAGCTGGTCCCGTGAGTATTCCGATATCGCCTGGGATGGAGGGACGTCGCAAATGTGCCATTCAAATGTTAACGTGTTGCCACGAAAATGACATCACGTTAACGTAAAATTTACGTTCCTATGTTTACGTCCCCAATGTGTACGTGTATTTTACGTCAACTAGACATCACTCCATCTGACGCAAAGTACATGATATCAAGATTATGAAAAATTAACACCACGCCGTCCATATGAAACTTTAGCTGATCATCTTGCAGTTGCAGTACCAAGATTCCTCACTAGATGGAATACCATTGGAACCTTAAAGGAATACCATTGCACTCTTCCCATTTACGATATGCCACAGCCTTCATTTCGGTTATTGGAATACTCTGGATTATAGAATGAAGTTAGCTGGTCCCGTGAGTATTCCGATATGCGGGGTCGACTGTATTTCCATCAATCTCGATCGGATTCATCTCCAACCATGTATTTCATCCTGTATATGCAAATTTCCAGATAATGAAATTTGAAAAACGCACTCTCAGGGGCTGGCTGCGAGCTTCTTGCACGTGAACGCGGGGGCCGTGAAGGCGACGGTGGCCCACGTGGATGGAACCGTGGCCGCGCAGTCGTGGTTCGGATAACCGGTCGGGTAACCCGGGACCCAGTTGTCGTAGTCCGATTCGGATCCGTCTTGGACCCAGAGCCATTCCCGGGCGGATTCGTCGCGGCGCAGGCCGATCCAGAATTCCGTCGCTGGATCGAGGTTTCGTAATTCCAGGAATTTTCGCAGGACGTTTGACATGTGTTCTTGGTCCGAGATCTTCATCAAATCTCTGCCGTTTGATGAGCAATGGCTTCGGGCAGCTTCGAAAGTGCTGTTCGAGGGCCAGACGGTGATTTCCGACCCATTGGAATTTGCACAGATATAGGAACGTAGTTCGTCGCAGGGAAAGTTGATCCATTTGTCGACCATGAGCACGAAATAATTGTCGTTCACGAGATAGACTTCTCCGGAATTGAAATTGGAAAAATCCGTTGGAGTACCGTCCAAGAATTCAAAGTCGTTTCTATCGCTCGAGAAATTCGGTCCTGCACTTGCCCCGATGTAGCTGACAGGGCGCCGAACCCGTTGCGCAATGAATTGGTTTTCTTCCTCCGAATGGACGCTGGCGACGTGAGCCCCCATGGCCTGGCATCGTGCCTCGGCGTTATTCAGCGAAAAGTCATTCTCGTCTGTGGTGATGTGAAGATAACAATTATCTTGGAACCGATTCCATCCGATTTCGCACCCGTTGTCGACGCGATAGCTTATGCGGAACCGGCGGTCGCCGATAGCGGAGGGAATTGCGTCGCTCTTAAAGATGACGGTGACTTCTGTGTCAGAAATTTCTAAGCTGGACGGTGCGTCTTCCCCGCAGAAGGTGGCCCAGCCGAAATTCGTGATCTTGACGTATTCGTCTTCGCAATTCGAGGACTCGCCGTCGAGGAAGAACTCTTCGAAAGTCAGTATAACCGGGAACTCTGACTGGCAGATACAACAAACATTTTTATTATTCATGATTTGACTCAAAGAAACACCCGAACAAAAAAACTCAATCTAAACAAACAGCATAACAAACAGCAGTACAGAGATGTCCGAGAAGCTAGATGGAGACAGTTCCCAAACATGTATTGCAAGCCTTAAAATGGCTTTCAAAGTTAGCGGATGGAGCTGACTCGACCAACATAGTCCACTTAACTCTAAAGACACGTATGAAGAAAAACAGCGTTAAAGAGACGTTAGATAGCAGTCCAGGTGTATGAGCATTCAAAGACAAATCTGTTTTTGATTTCATTTTGCTGAAGCTTAGCAATCGTCAGAAGCAGCAAAAACGAACGGGCGATTTTCCATTCAGAACGCAAAAACTGTGAATATAGTTCCTTTTCATGACGATAACTGCAGAGATAATGAAAATACATTGAATTTAGCTTCTGTTATCCCATATGTTCCCCTGGATCCAGCTTTCGCGAAGACTGGGTTCCACCGAAACGTTTCTCCGGGAAACGCATGTGGCATAGATATTCTTTAATCTTCTCCAAATGCGAAACATAGGAATTGTGATTGAGAATCCTTCATTTTCTTCCAAGGTGTCCTTATTAAGCTCGAACTCTCTATGAGGAATATTGTCCGCAATGTGTGCCATCAAGAACAACAACTGCAAGAATTCATGGAGGGCAAAGCTGCTCCGAGGGTGAATAGAAAATAATTGCTAAGGTATTAATTATTAAATTAAAATATTAAAATTAAATTTAAAATATTATTATTAAATAATACTCCCTCTGTCCAGAAATGATAGTCCTGTTTCACTTTTTTTTGAAAATTAAGGCTGACTTGGGGCATTAATAAATTCTGCTTATGTAACAAAATAGTCAAAATAGTCAAAGGACACCAAATCCTTTATAGCTCAAATAGATTTGAGCATTTGGACTCCTTTTAAGGTGCAGTTTTGGTAGAAGAAAAATTCTTATTTGTAAGAGTTTTTGAACCACACCGATTAGTCCAAAATTACATCAATGGAAATTCTCCCTTCAGCACCTTGTGGAGGAGAGTCACTACTGCACATTACATCCCCGTAGTCCGTGCCCTCGATTGATCAACCGTGGCAACCAACAGAAAACCTCATGGAGACCGAATCCCTGGCGACCAAAAAAAACCTTACTGATGACCAGCGGCGCGCGATATGCGACTTTCTTTTGTCGGGCATACGCGACAAAAGAAAGACGTTGCTATAGCCACGATGGAAACCTGAAGTATGGGTCGTGGGTTGGAAAGGACAAACTTACGCGTTTGGACAGCCTACCGCTTAATTTGCCGTGCCCTATGGATGTTGTAAAATCTGCTCAAGAGTCCCTTTAAATAAACCCTTAACTCCCTTACAAGATCTTTATTGAGAAACAAATTCATTGGCTTCGCTTCACCGCATGCCAATGCAGGGTGAATACTATTGCCACAATGGAGGGACAATGGTTACTTATGACATGGGGAAGTGTGTCCCTGTTGAGCCAACAAGTGAGTCCAGTTCTTTTATTGGGCCCATCAAAAACTAACTACAAAATCTATAGTCGCCAAGAGTCGTTAGTCGAAGTGTCTGCCAATCCATCAGGCGCGTTCTTCTTTAGTAAAGAGTCGAAAACCAGAAACAGGACAATCATTTCTGGACAGAGGGAGTAAAAAATTAAGTAAATAAAAATTAGATTAAATTATTGAAATAATAATTATAGGTATGAATATAGGTAAATAGGTATGAATTCAATACACAGATGGAGAAAACCACGAGAACAACGAACATAAAACGAAATATGCTACCATGATGAACCAGATGCAGGCAGAATTGACGGGATATTCCTCGGGGTAATTGGGAGATAGGATGACACCCGAGTCATCCGTCAACACCCCCCCGCACTCCTCCCTCCCTTCCCCGAACACGCCCACGAAGGAAAGCCAGAGAATCGCCAGGCCCCTCATGACGGTGGAGGCTCCAGTAGTCGAATGTTCAGGATCGCTCGCGGTGGTTTCGTCTCGGCCGGCTGCTCTCGCTCCCAGGGCGAGAGATATGGTATGCCTTTGGTAATCTTCATTCCTGGAACCCGGAAAGTTTTCGCAATGCGGAAAAAGTTTCGCAATGTCTGAGAGGACCACGTAAGCGCGAACGTTTTCGCAAATAAATTTCTTTCTCGTAACTCAAGGTCTCTTGGATTCTCGGACTCTTCTCCGAAAGATAATTCTCAGAACCGAGCCTCCCATTTAACAGGCAAGCCATAGCATCAAGAGAATTACTCATGTGAAACCGATCTGCTACTGGTACTTGGTATTGCAACCTCGCCCTTAGGTCGAGCAAACTGGAAATGAATGGATGGAATTCCCGTTCAACATCCTGTTCTGGGACTGCGACGCTGCAAGCTCGAGCAGCATTCAGTTTCTTGCATCCCGACTAGCCGACTCAAGAAAAAAAAAATTTCTGTAAGTTTCCTCAAGGATATATACAGGGTGGGCCAAAAAAAATTGTTCCACCTTTTTCATTCTGATGTAACATTTTCGCATGCTAAGTGAAAAGCCTCTGCCATTATTTGGAAAGGCTAATGAACAATCAAATGCACTTTTTATTTTGAAAGTCAATTAAGACGTATTTTTTCAGGCTGAAAGGCTCCGTTCAGCAGAGGATCGAGATTCTCGAGACCTAAATCTCCGTAGACCCTATCGTTTTTGGCTGCTGTTATGAGTTCCTTGTTTCTCGCCCGCCTAATATTTTTCTAGAAAATGTATTTGCATGCAATGCTGGCCTCCACGTACACGCAAAAGAGGGATACGCCCCAGTTCGCGCAGTTTTTCACCTCTAGGCGTGAAATCGTCACTGTCGGAAAACACTTGGGAACAACCGACTCTTACGAAATGAAGTGCGTTTGGTTGTAGTCTATGAAACCACGAAAGTGTGATGACAATCTGCAAAATCATCAAATTCATCATTGAATTTGATGATTCTCATTCGTTCAAACTTCCACGACGTCTGGTGGTCGTCTCGGTCCCTTCTTAAATCGAGGGTTTTGGGGCACGAGCCTGCAAATTCACGCCTGGAAGTGCTTGCATCTGAAAGGGATCGGCAGGCTCGGGTTTCGGCTCGGCTTGAAAAAATCTCGGAAGTCAGATTCAATCTGATTTTGCTGCGAAGCAAACCAAGTTTTAACCGTTTAAGAGTTTTAACCCAGTATCAAACCGAAAATTAGAGCAGCTCCTTCATCAATTTCAAAAAGTGTCTTGGTTCGAAAGGATTTTTTTCAATAATTTCAATTTTTCAGCATTACTAGAATCGTCGAAACACCGACTGGGAAGTGAATCTCGGCTGGCGAACAAACGCCGAACAGAGGATTTTCTCCAACGACCAATTGCGACCAATTGCGACCAATTGTGAGCTTTCTTCGGGATTCAAATTACTGATCCGGGTGTCTCCGAATTATTCTTCGAAAGAAGAAATTAATTTCCTCGAAAAGCAGACGTAGAAAAGTGAAAGTCGGCAATATTCTTTGCAATAATCTTTGGTTTCCTACGCGAAACCGAACTTTGCCGGGCTCGTACGGTGCGAGTTCCAGCGCCGGCACGGAACGAAAAGAAACCTCACAAAAGGATTCTGCTTTGTTTCGGGGAAAAGTAACTGGAGCGGTGAAGCTCGCAAAGAAACCGCTGGCACGGAGGAATATTCAACAATATATAACTGCCTGGTCTGTCCCTTTCGAAGAGTCGCTGTTCCATTTTTTTTAAAAATGCCTGGACCAACTTAGAATGATGTTTGGGTCTTCATTTTTTCCATACAACCAATTGAAGTCACGCTGTACGAGTCCAACAATGTTCAGTTTTGCATAAAAAATCCCACACGTCGATTTCTGCCAAATCGTCGTCGTCATCTTGCGTCCTACAGTGCTGCCGCCATATCGACCGAAAAGTAGAGTTAGACCACATTACTGCAAACTTTCATTGTTCTTCACCTACTACTTTTCTCGAAAAGTAGTAGTCGTAGTACTTTTTAGAATTGTAGTTTCTGAAAGAAATTTTACATTTCAATGAAGAGTTCGAGACACACCGTATTTACATTAATCTCCTCGATCGGATTCAACTCAAATAATATATTTCATACTTCATGATGGACATATTCCCAGATACCGAAAGTCGAACGAAACACTGTCAGGGCGTGACAGCCAGCTTCTTGCACGTGAACGCGGGAGCCGTGAAGGCGACGGTGGCCCACGTGGACGGGACCACGGCCGCGCAGTCGTGGCCGCTCAGATCGGCCGGGCGACCCGAGACCCAGTTCGAATAGGTCGGGGCCGACCCGTCTTGGACCCAGAGCCATTCCCCGGCGGATTCGTCGCGGCGCAGGCCGATCCAGAATTCCGTCGCTGGATCGAGTTTTGGCGATTCCAGGAATTTTCGCAGGACGTTTGACATGTGTTCTTGGTCCGAGATCTTCATCAGATCTCCGCCGTTTGATGAGCAGCTGCTTCGGGCAGCTTCGAAAGTGCTGTTCGAGGGCCTGACGGTGATTTCCGAGCCATCGTCATTTGCACATATGAAAGAACGTTCTTCGTCGCAGGGAAAGTTGATCCATTTGTCGACCATGAGCACGAAATAATTGTCGTTCACGAGATAGACTTCTCCGGAATTGAAATTGGAAAAATCCGTTGCAGTACCGTCCAAAAAGTGAAAGTCGTTTCTATCGCTCGAGAAATTCGGTCCGGCCCTTGCCCCGATGTAGCTTACAGGGCGTCGAATCCAATGCGCAATGAATTGGTTTTCTTCCTCCGAATGGACGCTGGCGACGTGAGCCCCCATGCCCTGGCATCGTGCCTCGGCTTCATTCAGCGAAAAGTCATTCTCGTCTGTGGTGATGTGAAGATAACAATTATCTCGGAACCTGGTCCATCCCGCGTCGCAGGGAGGAGTGGAGTGGTAGGAAACGCTGAACTTCCGGTCTTCTTTTTCCGAGCGGTTAACGTCGCTCTTGAAGATGACGGTGAGAATAGTCTCCGAGGTTTCCAGCGTTTCCGGCGCTTCTTCGCTGCAGAAGGCGGCCCAATCGAAATTGGTTATCCTGAGGAACTCGTCGTGGCAGCCGGCGTTGTCGTCCAAGAAGAATTCCTCGAATTTCAGCGTTATCGGCGCATCCGCCTGGGGAAGACGAATCAGGCAGATATTTTCCAAAACCGAAGAAACTAACTTTGACAATCATCAACTAAATATATCAGCGGTAATGACGACAATGATTTCAGCGACAAAAAAATCCTGCAAAATAATTCCCCTCCTCCCGCCAATTTAGTTTGGCACAACCCATGCAATTTCTGCATTAGCTCTTCGACTTTCTCGCCAACGCCATCAACAATCTTACGTATTCCATAAAGTGGAAACACTTTCTGTTTTCATTCGACAAGGCAACTTAACTTCGTGGCGCAAAACCGGCCTGTTAAGCTAATGAGGATTGCAAAGCCTTTTTTTTCCCTGGTAAGGAAATGTCTCAACATCCTTTTTTTTTGTCGGATTAATTGCGTCGTTCAGATCTCGATCCACTCGGAGAGAGTTAAGTGTTAAGTTATTAAGCATTTTTCAGTATTTTAAGTTTTTAAGTATTAAGTTTTTCCCTTGTCGATTGAAACCTTTTTCGGAGAAACCGATATTAATAATCCTTTTTCTCGATAACCATCGTAACAACAATAAAGTAATTCGCTCGCCAGTCTTTTTCTCAACGCTTTCAACATATTTATAAATATCAAGGTGGGAAATTAAATTACCTGTCGCATGATAGACGAACTCAATACGTTCTTTTTATGTTGGGAAACCTGCTACATTCGTTGTGGGATTTTCTCAAGGAAAATCTGTTCTCCGCCAAGCCGCCCATCATCGAGAGAAATTGAGACAATTGAAAATTGAATATCGAAAACGCCGTTATATTTTACAAAGCGATTATGTAAAGGAATGAACGGTTTCCCAACATTAAAAAAAAAGAAACTTTTTTTTTGAGTTCGTCTATCCTATCACACGTAATTAAATTTTCTATCGCAATAAATAACGAAAATGTAAGCCAACGAAATGCGAAACATTCTCTGCAAATAATCAGCGCTTTTCGAGGGTCAGCCGATTCCTGCATTCAATTCTGAAAACTGCTTCAAGCGCTAATATAGACATTTTCCGTTTCATTCAAGACCTTTCTCAATTTCCCTTAAGAGAGAAGCTGTGAAAAATCCCCATGACGCGCGTTTGGCTCAGCTAAGCCTGCGATAAAGAAGAGATAATCTCCTCAAGAGATAATCTCCTCGTGCGATGTGCCCGACCCCGAAAACATTCGTTTAAAGTCCTGCTCCGACCGTCCGAGGACCGTCTGATATTGCAGGGAATCATTGGGAAATTCAATGAAACGCGATTAAATCGTCCTGCTAAAATAAACCAAGATAAGCATCTCTTTCAGATCGCGATGATCGCATCATCCATAGGGAAAAAAATATTCAAAAAGCAAGACGAAGGCTGGAGAAAACCGCGAGAGATTAAACTCGACTGAAAGAAAACTCAGCAAGCGAATAAGGATATAACAAAAAAAATACAATACCGTGATGGTCCACAGGCAACTGCAGTTGACGGGATATTCATTGGGGTAACCGGGAGACCTGATGACACCCGAGCCATCTAGCGGTGAACACTCGCAGTCCTCCCCGCTCACTCCCCCGAAAACGGCGAGGAGAAGAGAAAAGAAAATCGGCAGGCACTTCATGACGGTGTGAGTCCCTGGCGTCGATTATCGCGGAGCCTTGAGTCATTAGAAACGGTATCGCGTCGGGTGCTTCCTCTCCCACGGAGATTGAGGGGGAGAGGGAGGCTCTTCGATTCCGGCTATGTCGTGGCAGCTCGAATCAGTCAAGTGTCGAGATTCGATAGTGGCAAGTCCTTTTCGTGGCTTAGCATATCTTGCCTTGATAGGATGCGCATGCGCGATTGGAATCGCCAAGGGAGGCTTCGAGTCCTGTCGTGTTTTGACGTCGATTTCTCCGTAATCGAAAGATAAGGCCGAAAACAGGTCTCATGTTTCTCGTCATGTCGAAGAGGGAAAACCCCGGAAAAAAAGAGGAACTATCAAGAGAGGCCACCGAGCTGTGCGACATACTTCTTTCCACTTATGAGAAATGCGCATCAAATAGAAGCGAATGAATAAAACTAGAGAGTACCAGTCCAGGTACAGATATAGCGTTCCACTGGCCCTGTACCACTGGATTTATGTAATATACCCTAGTAACACATAACATTGAAACAACATTGATTCAATGTTATGTGCTACTAGGGATATACAGACGATCGCGACTGACTGACTGGCCGACGCTTATTCTAACAATGTTCTAGAGAAGTTAGAAACCTGAAACTTGGTACACGTGTACCTTTTGGGATACAGAGTTCAGATTAAACCCGACTTTGGAGGTACATGCCTTGGGGCACCGATTTTGGGGGGAGATGTTTTCAATCATATATATTTGCTTCAGTCAAATGGAGATAAATGGAAAGCTGAAACTTGGCATGGACGTACCTACTGAGAGTTCAGGAAAAATGTCACGCTTTGGATGCATGCCCTGAGGGCATATTTTCTTGAAAATGTACTTTTTCCGGAAATATTTCTGATTCAATGAAGGAGAGAACAATAGAAATGTGAAAATTAGAGCAGAAATACCAGAGCAGAAATAGAGCAGAGTACTTCTAGCAACCCTGTCTACGCGGCGGGAGCAGCCGCTCTCTTCCATTGCCTACTAAGGATCCGTGAACCACCAGGGCTGGAAGGGAAGTGGATGTTTTCGTGGAAGACGGGCACCCCGACTCGGGCGGAGAGCTGCGCGTGCGCATGGGGTCGTGTTGTCCGGTCGCTATGGTTACTGCGGACAGACGGAATGAAAAAAATGAAAAAAGTGACAAACCGACCGCAATATCTGGCATTTCTTCGGGAGTACCTATGGGAATGCCAGATAAATATATTTCCAAATTTAAAAAACTTTTGTGAGAAAATACACGCTTTGTAAAAGCATAATACTTTTGTAAACTACCCTCGTCTGCGTGCCAGATGCGACAAGTGCTTGAGCACATGTAGCGACGCCAGCGCATGCGCAAAGCGACGACCAACATTGGAGAAATCGCTTTGAGTGTAAACTGAGCAGGGATTCCATTCCGAACTGCAGAGGGAAGAATAGTTGCGGACAGCCGTAAGCGAATGGTAGCTGCATGTGATCACTGTAAATGCATCTACCTATGCAATAGAGGCATCGGTCACCGGAATATTTGCGCATATATCAGCACAATACAATAACGCAACAAATTCCAAAAGAGAGTTACTTTGACAGTAATTTAAGGAAAGCACGCAATACCGTAGTTTTCGTCCTCAACATTTGATGCACTGAATGTTCGATTATGGATATGGCATTTCTGTTTTCCTTTTCAGCCGAAAACAGATTGACGGTTCTCGATTAAATGGAAAATTTGTGAAATTTCGTGGATTATGTGTTCTTTCTTCCAAAATAATCCACTTCGGTCACTTCAACATTTCTGGTGATTTTACTTTTGAAAATATTAACGTCTTCCACTGTACATAATTCCTTGATAAACGCCAGCCAAAGGTTTACATCAAAACACCAATAGTTATGACAATAATCATATTTGGCTCGTGTTTAGAGCAGAAATGGAGTTGATTGGGGTCTCAAGCAAAAAATAGTTTACGAAGCTTCTTCATGATTCTACACATACATACGTATGACAAAACATGCAGGAGCTTTGGCCCCAGATGACCCGATCTAAAAGGAAACAGCAGTGCTTAAAATCACATGGATTTTGCGAACGAAATCGAATAGAAAGCGACCTCCTGCGAGCCAAACCTTTAATCGAATGAACGAGACCTGGCATAAATAACTCTGGGCTGGGAGCGGAGCAATTTCCACATGCATGACTTCGCTGGCGGTGCCTGAATGAGAGATCAATGTTAATAGTTTATATACAGTAATTCCTCGGCAACCGCAGGGGTTACGTTCCTGGAAAACAGGAAATAGGGGGTTAGGGACCTACTTTCTAGAATAGTATAGAAGGTCATGAAAGTCCCAAATATAAAAAAAAATGCTGATGTTCTTCCCCTTCAGAGCACGTGGGTTCTTAGTTCTGCGGAGAACCACAGGCTTCACCATGACCACCGAAGAGACGGGTTAGCCTGTCCTTCGCATCCTTAAATCCTGGCGCAGCTCGCTCTAGCTTTGAATTGAATGTTCTCGTTGCATCCTCTTCCGAAAGAGGCCCGTTAAAGACCTGGGTCGGGCGATATTCCTTCTGCTCTATCGGTTTCTGCGGCTCAGGCGGGTAGCTGGCAGCAGCAACAGGAGCTGAGGCGACTTCTCACACAATTTTGACCTTGTCTTTTTCTTGAAATTCTGGGACCAGGCCTTGCTTGGAACGTCGTGGGGTTGGAGCTGCTGCTGCCTTCTCCTGCCGAATTCTCCACGAGATGGTCATAAATATTCTTGGCCTTCTTGCGGATAATTTTGCTACTTCGTGGCACTTACCACTGTTTGGTCTTCGATCCACAACAGGAGAGTATTTTCCATTTTTTCTGAGTTAGGAACGCGGGGCATGAAGGTTATTTTTGCACTTCTAGAAGCACTTTCCACCACACTAGTCCTAATCATTGTCTCACTCCTTTCAATTGCCCTCACAGTTAAAACCGTTCAAACCGCAGTTCGGTGATGTAGTGGTGGCATACTTGATCGACAATCAAGAGGCCTTAGGTTCAATTCCCGCCCAATACGGCGGTTTCTTTTCGTCCTTTTATGCCATCCGAACTCTTCCCTCCATCTCCCATCCCCTCCGGGGCTATTACGTCCTCGGGAATAGATCCGACAGTCGAAAAGGCCGGGAAAAAAATGCCAGTCAGAGAGAGGGAGATGCACTCGGGATTGCGCTGCGCACACGCGTATGTCATGTGTGCGCGCGCACATGCCACCACAACCGCCACCACCAACACGGACTACATAAAAGACTGTTATATAAACGACCAGATAGATGTTAGCGTATTTGAAGAATCTCAGTGTTCTGTGAGCACTGGGCCCCCCCCCCCCCCCCCTTGGAACCTGTCATTTTCTCAGTTATGTTCACGTTATATCGATAATAGCGAAGTACTTCTGAAGAGTCTACGGGGCAATGGATATGCATTTACACCATCATCTATCAACATAGTTCCTTCTTCACTAGATTTTGTTTTCTCGTTTTACATCTAGAAACTCACCGTTAGAATACCAGGCAACTCCCACGACCTTACATAGACAACCTCGCGCTCTCGCGCTGGGGGAATTCCCTTCGGAAACTCTTGCTCACATTCGGATTCAAAGCGACACGTCCATTTCTTCCCCGACACCAGTAGAAGGGGCCAGTATTTTGCAATGGGGAGGCCATTAACTAAACTAAACTTGGGGGGACTGAAGTTACCCCCCCCCTCCTCGCTACGCCACTGCACACACGCGCACGTGACGAGCGCGTACCTGCGCTATTCGCAAATTTCTTTCACAATAAATGAGCCTAGAGGCTTGCCTTCTACGAAGAGCTGCATTCAAATCCTTAAAAAAGGTTTTCTGGTCGATAGATGTAGCTTTTACACGTCTGTGATACCGTGTCCGCATCTGCTGCTCGGGCTATTGTCCCCCCAGCAAATTTTGCTTATGTTACTCATTTTGTCACCATTACCATTTGATGGTTGATGCTTCATATGCTGATAATATTTCAGGTTTGCTTGTTTTTTTCCGATTAAAATCATTTCATGGGAAAAAATTGTTTAATTATGAAAATAAAGAGATAAAAACCGTTGAAATTTTGTTTAAAATATTGGCGAATATTAATTTCTTTTTTAAAATACAAATGAGGAAGTGTCCATTCAAAAATTTTTCCGTGTTTGTATATTCTTATTGGATTAATGACCTGACGTATTCTTTTCACTCTTGGCTTTGAGAATTTTCCCACCCATGTGATGAACCATTTCTCTTCCTTTCTCTTTTCCATCTGGCAGTCTTGCTGCCATTGTTGCACTTAGACTGTCTACGATGTCTCTGCTAGCACGCGGGTGCAGCTTATATGCGATTCGAATGGCTTTCCATTGGACAATTTATAGTTTTTCCATGTGTGTCTGCTTTGTCTGCTTCGTCTTTGTCTGCTTTGTCTTTGTCTGATTTATTGCAGTTGTGATTGGTGCGCCGTATACCATGACGGGTCGCAGGAATTGTTTATACAGTTTCATGGTGTTTTCAGTGTTGCATCGCCATTTTTCTCATTGTATTAGTCGTAATAGATTTAACCTTCCCTTTGGTTTTTTAGTAATGTCGTTGATGTGTGCCGTAAGTTGACCATGTTTTTGCATTGTAATTCCGAGAAATTTTGTTTTCTTTTTCCAGTTTTGCTTCTTCGCTCAGTATAATGGAAACATCCTTTCTTTCTCTCCCTTGTGAAGAGGATAAGTGTAGTTTTCAGTGGGTATCCTCCATTGCAGAAAGACATTGTACCTTCCAAGTATTTTTTTGCATTTATTTTTGGTTTATGTGAATCCTTGTTTGTTTGCCATATGGCTACATCATCTGCATATTGTGCGATATTTGAATGCTTTAGATTGTCTGCCATTTCATTTACAAATACGTTGTGCAGGATTGGGCTGATCACCGATCCTTGGGGATCCTGCTAGTGGTGCAAAAGGAGCGGAGAAGTCTCCTACCTTGACTATGACTTTGTCTATTAGGAAGTTTGATATCCATCGTCGGAATATTATGGGATGTTTATTCGTTTCATGCGGTACTTTAGGCCGTCGTGCCAAACGGTATTGAAGGCTTTGTCTATATGTCACGTGGTAAGCTTTTAGTGGTGCTGTCG